TTTTTTAGGGGTTTTAATTCACCCCCCCCTTAAACACGCCCCATTCCTTATGCACACAGCATGGGTCGTAGTAACAGAACGTCCACATACATAAGGAGATAAGAAAGTGGCCGTTGTCCTGCCACTGCATTAAGTTGTCAAGGTCAGATATCAAGAATTTGCCAGAAAACATGTACACAAATATACGAAAATGTACATGCACAAGACTGGTTTCTGAATTTAATATACATTATCAAAACAATTCCATAAGATACTTTATAAAAGTAAAGCAAGTGAGTGGTATAATATATCACAGCCAAAGCATAATATACACTTACCAAGTTCTAGTTTAAATTTTTTGAAAATGAGGTTGATGTTTATCAAGGTCAACCCCACCCTATACCATCACACCAAGTTCACTTTTTCCATGTGCCTTGTTAAAAACCCAGACTGAATATCGAGTTAAACTTAGGAATGGACAATATTGGATATTCTGTTATAGTAATCAAAGTCACAGCTTTATGCTCCTCTACAAAAAATCAAATACATGATTTCAACCGATTGCCAATTCATTATGTTCATGAATATAAACGTTTCAATTTCAAATTGACGGTAAAAATAGTAGTAGTACCAAAGGAAACAGTTACAAGCAACACAATAGAATACATTTACACAGTTATTTGGGTTCCAAGATTAGAGTATCTTTTTTCCCATCTTTCTAAGTTGTGATCCATACACTCACTATTCCCCACAGAAGAACACCCTCATTTTGCTATCCAATTTTGCCATTCCCCATAGACACACCCAATTCCCCCATCCACGCCCACTGTTCCCAAAAGACAAATTCCTACCCCCCCCCTCCTCACCTTTTACAAGAAAACCCCCAAAACAAAACAGAAAAACCGGCTCAACGCCAGTGTTATTTCCCGTATGAAGTTACATCGCGCATTCCCTGACGGGAATTACCAGGGATAATGTGGCAGACACGCCTGAGCTAACGTTGTTGTGAAGAGACGTGATGCAAGAAAGACAAGCCATTGTACTCCCACCTTCACTGACGTGTCCTCCTTGTCCAGGCATCATTGGGTAAATCTTGTTTAGGATTTTGGTCACCGGTAGGTAAATGCATTCGCCTACAGTTATGGTTTTCTTGTCTGCCAGCCGTAACTCGTGTCGGCACGGCCCATCCGTCTCCTGCCTCCAGGGCACAGTAACATTGTATGAAGTGGTATGAACTTGACGCTCTTTTCAACACGGAACGTTTATTTCTGAGGCAGGACCTCCAGATTTAATATTCATCTCCAGTAGGGTTGAACCAGGAGGATTTAGAGCCTTGCAACTCCCCAAACACCGAAGTTCAAACTGCCCTATTGGGGGATCGAACTGGATCCATCTCCACCGTTCTCCAGCGTGATGCTAGGGCCCATAGACACGCAAAAGCTTAACAAACCTGTTTCGTTGGGGGTCTGTCTACTTTTTTCGTGGTTGTTAAAATTCATGGCGTAGTTTTGAGACGTAATAATAATTATGATACTGGGGACTAACAAAAGTTAGAGGAAATATTAATGAAAAATATGAACAACAACACTCACAGATTATTGCTTTTCAATGTAAAGAAATTGTTACACTTCAAACACAATCCCAACAAAAAAGTGCATGTATAGCATCGATAGCTACACGGCACTCGACACACCAAAGGTCATTAGCAAGGGGGACCAATCAGCCCCCAATGATGATACAAAGCTGAAAGGAAAGTTAGGATGGGAAAAGTTCAGACCAATTTCTGAATTGAACTTCCAAACCTCACGTCCCTCAAACTAAAACAACAATACCACTAAAGAAGGTTGAAAAGAGGGGAAACATCTAAACAATCACCAGGACTGAGAATACAATGGCAATGTACAATGTCAGTCACAAGTTAACAAAGCTCATGAAACGGGTGAATTCTCGGGGCTGAGGGATGGGGGAGGGGCGCGGTTTTAGTGTTAAACATCGTTATTCTAAACAAAACTTATATGAATTCATCATACCTTTCACATAACAAAGACACATGTATATATAAATCATATAAATTTTGATGATAGTCGTGTATATATTTACAGTTTGATGACATAAAATAAAAGCAACCCCCCCAAAAAAAATAAAAATAAAAACAAAAACAAAAACAAACCCCCCAAAACAATGAAACAACAACAGCAACAACTACAACAACAAAAAAACCCACCCCCAACACAAAATGGAACATCTTTCCTAAGAATTCAACGAAACAATACGTGTCTGATGAAAGTGAAAGACATTAAACTAATGCAGTGCTTGCCAACCTGGACGGTATGGCCCACTAGCAGGGCATTATGGTAATTTTGGTGGGTGGTGATCACCTAGGTTTCATTTTATGTCCCACTAGGAAATACACGTAGGTAGCCAGTGCGAACATTTTAGCCTGTTAAAGGTGACAAAGGTAGGTGCTTACTATAAAAAAGTTGGACAAGCACTGTACCTATGGATACAACAGTAGCCACCGAACTAACCCCAGTGCTATTGAAACAACTGAATGATCACCCCGGCTGACCACTTCATTTGAAATGAAAAAAAAATAATACATTAATTAATAACAGAACCAAAAATTAAACCCACCCCAAAAAACAACCCCCCCCCCAAAAAAAATAATAAAAAAATAAAACAAAAACCCAACAATTTTTTGTTAACACGTGTCTAGGAGTCTGTGCCAAATTCAGTCGTAATTTATCTCAGCAAAGGCCCAAGACGAGACGGCACAGTGAAGCCCCTTCCGTAGTTCGACTCCTGTGGTAATAAGCAAGAAAGAAAACGTTATACGTAACGGTAAACGAGAACAAAGTGCAAACTGTAGATGAAGAAAAATGGTTCAGGTGAATTGAAGAGGTCTGTTTTGTTTTCCATCTCGTTAGAGATGTATATCCGCCTTCCAAATGCTCTAAACTGTGTTGTCGAGGGCGTAAAACAAGTACTTTAAATAGATAATTAAAAAGCGATCATATCGGTTGTTATTAAAAGCGGAAACATTACAAAAGTGTAATAGACCTTCAAGTTAACGAGAACCCTTCTGATTTTTGCTAATATTTTCTTTCCCGCTCCCCTCACTCCTTCCACCTGCCCTCTATCTCCCCCTTTTCTGTTGTTCTATTAAATGTTGCCTGTCTCTACGTCTCTCTGACTTTGTGTCTTCCCTTCGTAGTATCTCTGCCCTCCTTTGTGTTTGTTTGTCTGTCTGTCTGTCTGTCTGTCTGTCAGTCAATCTCTCCTTCCTTTTGTCTGTCTGCCTGTCTATCTGTCTATATGCCTGTCTTTATCTCTCTCTCTGTCTTCATATTCCCCTTTTGCCTGTCCTTGTGTCTGTCTCTGTGTTAGTTTTTGCCTCTTTCTCTATCCGTTTTCTTGTCTGTTTGTCGGTCTGCCTGTCTGTCTGACAGTCTGTGCCCATCCTCTTGTCTCCAACCTCTCCGTCAGTCATTGTCTCTGTCTCAACGCACCCCCCCCTCATCTTTTCTCCTCTTCCCCTTTCGCCATCTAGTCTTTCTGTCTCCATCCTCCCTGTCTCCAATTTCCCCGTGTGTCTGTTTGCTTGGATGTCTGTCTGTTTGTCTGTCTGTCCGTCACTATTTCTATCTCTCTTGACTCTAATATCTCCCCTCCTCCACCATCCTTGTCTTTCTGTTCGTACGTATGTCTGTCTGTTTGTTTGTCAATCTCTTTCTCTTTCCCTTTCTCTTTCTGAGTGGCTCTCAACTCCCATTCTGTTAGTCCGTATGTCTGTCTGTTTGTTTGTCGACCTCTTTCTCTCTCTCTTTCTGAGTGGCTCTCTACTCCCATTCTGTTTGTCCATGTGTCTGTCTGTTTGTTATTCTCTGTCTCAGAATGTGTCTGTCAGGCCATTGTCTGCTATTTTGTCTGCCTGTCCGCTCCTTTCTCTCTGTCTCTCTAATTTAACAGCCCAACACACGCACACACACACACACACACACACACACA